AGTGCCTGAGTGGTGCACTCAGCCTCACCCACCCTCACCCTCTGCGGCCCAGTGTTCTGCTTGCCTTCCTGGCCCAGGTCCACAGGTTTGACCCCAAACTGCTCCAGTTGCTGGCCAAGTAAACAGAGGCCTTCCTGAGGCCTTCTTGGAGGAGTCGGCCATTGGGCATCTGAAACAAGACCCCCCGTGACGAGTGAGTCCCTTCCCCCACGGCACCCTCTCACCTGGGCGCCCTCACCCCACCTCAACTCTTCAGCCACAGTCGGAGGGGAGGCAAAGGCCCGGCATCGAGTCTTGACCTCTCTTCTGGCCTGCTGTCACTGATGGGGTAAGATGGCCAGGGCTCCTAAGGACCCACAGTCAGCCTGATGACCTGTGACCCAGTAGGTTACTGGTTGGGGTCACACCCTCGACCTTGTGCCACCCAGGCGTCCTTGTCCCGTGCCTGTGTCCCCTCCAGGGCTCCCTGACAGCCAGTGCCCAGTCAGGCGTAGGCACAGGGCTCTGGCTGAGGAGCCATGGGACAGCAAGATGGGCTTCACGAACACACCCGGAAGACCCGCCCTGGACCTGCTCGTCCTGGGGTTCCCTGTGACCTGTGCAGGGCAGACCCTCCTGCAGCCAGGGAACGTGACCCTGACGCTTGGAAACCTTGGTGGCTTCAGAGGCCGCAGTCCCCGGATGCTGCTGTGTGCCACCATGCTCTGCTCTGGTGGTGTCTCCCAGGGGAGAGCACTTCGAAGAACCTAAGCCGTACTTCTCTCATGGGGCCAGGAGGACAAAAGCCTCCACCTCTGGGACTTTGAGAATTAGAGGAAGGGCCCTGCAAAGGGCAGGCATCTCCTGGCAGCTGGCAGGGGAAGGCTCCAGGCCCAGCCTGTGCCTGGCACTGAAGCAGGAGGTCTCTTTTTCTGGAAGGAGTGGACGTCTCTGGGAGGAGGAGGGTTGGCTTGTCAGTTGTCCTGGCGAGTTGCCCCACGGCGGGTTTGGATGTGCAAGGCAGGCTGACAGCAGGAGGCCATAGTGCCCTGGCCTCAGAGGCTCAGCGGGGGCAGGCCCTGGTCACTCCACCTGGGCAAGTACCGGAGCTTTCTGAGGCCACTGTGAGACCAGGGTGTCTCCTCTCTCTGCCCTGCGTCCTGACCCACCTCAGGATTAGGGTCTGGGCTGAGGAAGCAGCCCAGAGGGCCTGGGAAGAGTTGATTGATGACTGGTGGCTGGTCAAGGTGGTGGAGGCCAAGGAGGAGGCTGCTGGCTGACCGGCTGGCTGGGCAGCTGCCTACTTTTATTGACGGGTGTGGGCAGGATAGGTGTTCATGTAATTGTGTAAACAGGTAGATTTATGGGGTGAACTGCTGCGGAAAGATTGATGGGAGGAGAGAAGAGGAAAGGGAAGGGTGGCCGGGTAGGAAGCTGCGGTGGTGAGCCGGTGAATGTTAGGAAGCGGGGCGGTGGGAACCGATGGACCTGCGAGGGGCAGGCTGCCCTGGTGACCTTGTGGGAAGAATGTGTCGGCAGGCAAGCTGAGCCGCCGTGAGCAGAGTGCAGCGCCAGGTCCGGGAGGGAAGACGGAGACGGGCGCCCCTGCGGGGTCCGACTCACACGGCGGGCACAGACTTGGAGGGGCAGAGCAGCGCGTCTGAAGGGAAGCATACTGGGGCCGTGGCCGGGGAGCCCGGGGAGGATGGAGAAGGGGTACAGAGGAGCAACCTGCGTCCGAGCACAGAGGGGCAAAGGGATAGCGAAGCCATCGAGCGTGGCAGAAGCGGACGTGGGCCCTTGAAGCCGCAGACGCTGTGAGCACATTTCAGAGGAGAGAGGGTGGGACCAGCTCTGCATTTTGTGGCCCAGTCTCTCCTGAGGTGAAATGGAGAGGAGCCCAAAGAGACAAGGGGACCTTTCCAGAGGCCAGTGTGGACAGAGCGATGGCAGTGGGCAGTGGGCATGACAGTGGACATGTGTGGAAATGAGGGGAAGGACACCCAGAGGGTGTGTGGCCTTGAGGCCGTGAGACAGGGCAGCGTCGGGGAGGCCTGTGGCCAGCATTTGGTGGGTACCAGCTGGCCTTTGCCAAGGCCAGGGATGCCAGCTCTAGGCAAGGACAATGTGGCTTCTGTGTGCAGCCAGGTGGGCCACAGGCCCCGCAGGATGGAGATCACAGGGGCCGTGCAGTGCCACACTAAGGGCCACTGTGGTGCCAGCCAGATTGCTGTGCACAGGTACACTGGGGCATGAGCATGGAACAGCCCCAGCCCAACCATGGCAAAGCCCAACGGGCCTGCAGCCCACCCCAGCAGGAGGAACCGGCAGCCACGGAAGATGGATCCCAAGACACCGTCACACTTTTCAGGATGGGCAGTGTCTGGGGCTGGTGAGAGTGGTCTGGTGGCCAATGGGAGTGGCATCCACATGGAGTGGTGATGCCAGCTACAGGCTGATGAGCTTAAGGTCCCAGAACCCTTGGGGACCTGCTGCATCTCAGTAAACCCAGCGAGGCTGAGTCCACTTCCCTTCATGACAGGGAACAGTTGGAAACAGTTGGTCCTTCCTCAAGGGCAGAAGTGCAGGCAGCCTCAAAGGAAGGGCCTCTGTGCCCGCATCCACCCAGGTATGGCCCAGTACACAAGCTCCATCTGTCCCTCTGAGCTCATCAAGGGACCTCAGTTAGCAGTGAGCCCCAGCTGCCTGTCTTACACAAGTGTTGGATGTAAGCCCCATCCCGCAGGGAATAGACACCCCAGTCTTAGGAAAGAGCACTCTGGTTACCTGGATGATGCTGGCAAGGCCAGGGGCAGGACAGCAAGGCTGGGCCCCCAGGAAAGCCAAGCAGGAGGCCTGGATTGAGCTGGGTCAGACCTGTGTGGCCCACAGTGCAGCCCAAAACTGAACGTTGTCTAGCAACCTTGCAGCTAGTAAGGCAAAGCTTGCTGCACTCTGGGACACTGAGCAGGAGGATCACGAGTTCGAGCGCAGCCCTTGCAGTTTAGTGATTTACCCAGATCCTGGCTCAAAATTAAAAATACAAAAAGGGTAGGGAATGTAGTTCAGTGCAAAGATCCCAGATTCAATCCCCCGACTGGAAAGAATACAAGCTAAGACTGCATCACGCTCGCCTCCCAGGTGAGCAAGGATCATGTGGCAAGGAAGAGTGGTGGGCATGGGGCAGCAGTAGGGCCGCGGATAGGGGCAGGGCACGGCCATGCCACACTGGTCTATGGTGAATACGGCCCTGGGTTCCGATGGGAGCACCAGATAAACAAGTAACTAGCACAGCCACATCCTTGATCCAGCTTTCCACAGCTTGTCGGATGGATGATGGGTACATGAATGGATGGATGGGTGAATGGATGGATGATGGATGGAGGGATGGATGATGGATGAATGATGGATGGATGGGTGATGGAAAGATGGATGGTAGATGGATGGTGGGTGGAGGGATGGATGAGTGGATGAAAGGATGATGGATGGAGGGGTGGATGCTGGAAGGATAGATGTTGGATGGATGATGGATGATGGATGATGAATTAATGGATGGATGGTGAATGGAATGATGATGGATGGAAGGATAATGGATGGAAGGATGGATGATGGAGGGATGCATGATGAATGGATGGATGAATGGATGATGATGAATGGATGGTGGATGATGGATGGAGGATGGATGATGGATGATGGATGAATGGATGATGGATGGTTGATGGAGGGATGGATGAATGAATGAGTGGATGATGGATAGATGGATGATGAATGAATGGGGATGGATGATGGATGGATGGATGGTCGATGGATGGGTGGATAGTGGATGAATGGATGGATGATGGATGATGCATGAATGGATGGATAATGGAGGGATGGATGTTAGATGGATTGATGTTGGATGGATGAGGGATGATGGGTGGATGGATGATGGATGAATGGGAGGATGGATGGAAAGATGGATGATGCAGGGATGGGTGGATGGATAGATGATGGATGGATGGACGGTGGATGGATGATGGATGGGTAATGGAGGGATGGATAATGGAGGGATGAAAGGATAGATGATGAAGGAATGAGTGGATGGATGGATGAATCATAGATGGATGGATAATGAATGGATGGATGGATGGATGATCAATGGATGAATGATAGATGGTGGGTGGGTAGATGGATGACGGATAAATGGATAGATAATGGATGGATGGATGATCAATGGATGGTGGATGTATGGATGATGAGTGAATGGATGAATGATGGATGGTGGATGATGGATGGAGGAATGGATGATGGATTGATAGATGGATGAATGATGGATGAAGGTATGGATAGTGGATGATGGATGGAGGAATGGATGATGGATTGATAGATGGATGAATGATGGATGAAGGTATGGATAGTGGATAGATGATGTATGGATGATGGATGACCTCTGACCTGATTTGCCTTATTCCTGTTATCTATCCTCTATTAGTTTTTCAAGTGGGAAGGGGAACAAGCAATAAATAGAGGGCAGAGGAAGGGGAAAGAAAGAAAATGGAAAAATGGAGCAAGAACTTTTCCCAATGGGAGGGGACCAAGCGATGGAGGGTCAGGTAGAGGATGAGAAGTGCTATGCACAGGCGCCGCTCCCCACAGCGAATGTGATCATCACGTGCTGCAAGCAGGTACTAATAAAGAAACAAAACATTTGCATCTGACCATGCTAAGTGGCAAATGCCTCTTATCCCAGCTCCTTGGAAACTGAGGCAGGACAATCACAAGTTCGCGGCAAGCCTGGACAACTTTGCAAGGCCCTGTCTCAAAATATAAAATAAAGAGAGCTGGGGGTGTAATCAGTAGTAGAACACTCCTGGATTCGATCACCAGTACCACTAAAACAAACAAACAAACAAAAAGCTAGTAGAGAAGGCTGGGGATTTAGCTCAGCGGCATAAGTACCTGCCTTGCAAGCAGGCAGTGGTGAGTTCAATCCCTGATACTGATAAAAAGGAAAAAGACAAAAAAAAAAAATCTAGGAGACATAAGCTGGAAAAAGTTTAATGCATCTTTGTTGACCATCACAGTGGCTTTCCTTTTCCTCGTTCTCTGCGGGGTGCTGTGCAGAGTTCGTACGGAGGGAGGAGGGCGCCCGCGCTGCCCAAACACTGCGCTGCTTTACACAGGGGACCTCGCGTCCAGATGGTTACACTGCTGCAGGGGCCTGGAATCAAGCCAGGGTCCCCGGGGTGTAGGCCGGCGAGGCGCTGCATGCACCTCGGACCGGACCCAGGACCCAGCCGGCCGGAGGGCAGGAGCGCTGGGCCAGGCCCCGCTGGCCAAGCCGCTTCCCACTGTGTCTCCTGCACTGACAGAAATTCCTGGAGCTGGCAGAGCAGGTGGAGGAGTTCGTCACCCGGAGACAAACGGACCGTCCCTCTGAGCAGAAGCCCAGAGTCACGCACGCACACGCCTGGGCGCGTGTCTGCGGCGAGGACGGTGAGGTGGCCGCGCAGGGTGGGCGCTTTCGGCAGCCCAGGAGTGCGAGGGGTGCGGAGGCCCAGCCCTGCAGGGACACGTCCCTCCGCGTGTGCGTGTGCGTGTGCGTGTGCGTGTGCGAGGGAGCGAGTGTGCAACTTGTCTTTTCTGCAGCCTCCGTCCCCCAGCACGCGAGCTCCCGGCTGTCACTTTCCAGATGCAGCCTCCTGGCAAGTTTCCTGCGCGGGAGGCCGCAGAACGCGCTCTGGGGAAGGTCGGGCTGCCACTGTGCCCAGAGCTGGGCGGGGTCCCTGGCTCCTCAGCACAGAGCGGCGCACGCACAGGGGGGGCTCCTACCGCACCCCAGAACAGCCCGCAGAAGGATCCCTGCATGATTTCGGCTTTGGGTCCTTTGGGCTCAGCCACTGCACTTTCCCATCTACAGTCAGGGACGGGCTCCGCCCCCCCCCTGCGCCCCAGGAGCGGCACCCAGCCTGGTGAGGGGTCCCCAGGGCCGGGCACAGGCACCCTCAGCCGCAAGGCCGGGACCGCGCAGCACCAGCTCTGTGTCCGCTGCGCGCCCGGCCGCCGCGGAGCCCCCCAATGAGCTCTGCGGTCACAGTGTTTGCGGTTGGAAACGGGCCGGTGCCCGGTACCTTTTCCCCTTGCTCACCGTCTGGGAAGAAAGATTCTTTCCGACCATGATCTTAGCGGCTGCGGCGCAGGATTGGGCTCTTTCCTTACAGCATCGTGGTTTCCCCTTGACTTTAGGATCATTACTAAGTAGGCCGCGTCCCTGTGACCGCGTGGCCGTGGACGAGGAGGCCCACAGAGGGACACTCACATCCCGCAGCAGGTCCCGGACCTCTTCCTGCTGCTCCCAGTGCCACACATTTTAGGAGTCATGAATTGCTCACTTCTGGAATTTTCCATTAAGTATTTCAGATTGTGGTTGAGCAGGGGTAACCGAAACAACAGAAAACACAACCAAGGTAGAAGTGGACAGCTGTACTCGGTTCCTGTTGGTGCCAACACAAGTCACCACAGATTCCGGAGCTCAGACAAGTTTGTCCTTAGGTAAAAAGGCCTTCCTACTGTGTGGACTGCAAGGTGCCAACGTCTGTCTCCCAACTCGTGGTTGCCATAGTGATACAGTACCTAGTTAATACAATAAGGAAAAAAAAACAGAGATCACAAAGGAGAAAACATCACACTCTCCCTACTTCCAGACAATGAGGTTAAAAAATTACAAGGAATCTATAAAAAAACTTCTAGAACTGAGAGATGAGTTTAACAAGGTCCTAGAAGATAAACAGCAATTGATTGTATTTCTATGTTCTAGCAATAAATACATGGGTACCAAAATTTTAACCTATGATGCCATTTTGCCGGGTATGATTGTTTCTGCCTATAATACCAGCACTCTGGGAGGCTGAGACAGGAAGACCTCGAGCTGGATCCCAGTCTGGGCAACTCTGTGATTTAGCAAGATCTTGTTTTAAATTAAAAAAAAAAAAAAAAAACTGGAGACATAACTCAAGCAGAGGCCCTCGGTTCAGTCCTAGTACTGCCCCAAAGAAAAGTGCGTGTGCGTGTGTGTGTGTGTGTGTGAGAGAGAGAGAGAGAGAGAGAGAGAGTTGGTCTGATGTGTCACTTTCGGTCACTCAAAAAATGAACTCTTAGGTGCAAATTCTACAACACATGTACAGGATTTGTGTGTTAAAACATTATACCATGCTGAGACCAAAGATCTGGCTAAGTGGAGAAACAGGACATGCATGAATTAAAGACCCAATGTAGCGAAGATGTCAACTCTCCTTCCCAAATTCCAGCAGCTTTAGTGAAATTTCAATAAAAATCCCAGGAAGATCTTTTCCAAGATGCAGACAAGACCATCCCAAAACTTACAGGGAAACGTAAAGGAACTAGAATCCTTAAAACAATTTTGAAAAAGACAAGATGAAAGGACTCAATGTCCCTATTCTGAGGCTGACATTCTGAGCCCCAGTGATCAAGGCCGTGGGGTGCATAGACGGACAGAACGACCTAGACAACCTTAGGCCCACACAGTCACGTGCAATGGCTTTTAACAAAAATGCAAAAATGATTAATTTGAGGAAAGAAAACCTTTCCACAAGTGATAGTGGAATATTTTGGATATCTATAAGCTAAAAAAGAAAAAAGAAAAGAAGAAAAAACAGTGAACCCAATATAAGGTCAGCACCTGACAATAATGTTATCTGAAATGGTTCACAGCCTTCAGTGTAAAATGTAAAATTCTGAGACCCTGGTGGCTGGGCCGTGTGCAAGGAATCCGGAGAAAACCGTCCAGGTTCACGCTGCTCCGCCCCCCATGCTTAGCCTCAACCTCAGCGGGGACGTGGCCCCAGTACAGGGGGGGCCCAGACTGTGCTACAGCTGCACTGCAGCTGTGTGACGAGGGTCAGGGTCAGCAGTGCGCATACACCGGACTCACAATGGCTCTTTACCTCCTATAGGGTCCCTGGGATGTGATCCCATCGTGAACCGACAGGCACGGAGCTAGACGAAGACTGTTCTTTCAAAACAAAATATGAAACTGTTATATGACTTAGTTAGTGACTGCACTCTTGTCATGCTCACAAGACAGAGAAGCCTCCTCACTGGTGTTTACAGATGCTTTACTCTTCATAGCCAGAAACTAGAAACAGCCTCTGTGGTGAGTGGTTAAGCAGCCTGTGACAATCACACCATGAACCGTGCCACACATGAGGAACCAGCTCTTGCACATTTTACTGCATGCACCAATCTTCAGGGTGTTTCCTGAGTGAATAGTTACATACTACCCATTTATAGACATTCTGTTTGTTTTTATTTTGTTGTTTTGAGACAAGGTCTAGCTATGCAGTTCAGACTGGCCTTGAACTCATGGCAATCATCCTGCCTCAGCCCCCCGAGTGCTGAGATTGTAGGCTTGCACCACCACACCTGAACTGATTAAAATAATCAAGCCACACATGGTGGCACACGCCTGTAATCCCACCCACCACTCTGGGAAGCTAAGGCAAGAGGATCACACATTGGAGCCCATAATGCTCAATTTACCAATTTAGTGAGACTCTTCTCAGTATGCAGATAGATGGATAGATCGTTAGATGATAGATAGATAGGGCTGGGGATGTAGTTCAGTACAAAAGCCCCGAGTTCAGTTCCCTGCTACTACAGAGAGACAGACAGAGACAGAGACAGAGACAGAGACAGAGACAGAGACAGAGACAGAGACGTACTGCAGAAACGGAGGCCACGCCAGGCCTCAAGCCAGCAGAAGTCCTGGTGCTCAGCGCACGCACGCACGGTGAGGCGCGCTCTAGGGTGCGCTGGCTGCTCGCCTTTCCGGCCTTGCGGCTGAGCCGCGGCCGTGCCCTGCCGCTGCAGTCCGCGTCGGCGTCGGGAGGAGGACCTGGCGCGCGTCACCAGCCCGGGGGAGATCCTCATTCAAAACCCAAAGAGCCTCTCCGCTGAGCGCCTGGCACTGCCTAGCGCCAGCCTGACTGTCCGTCTGCAGCTTTGCAGGCGGGTACCACTAGGGGGCGCGAGGCAGAGGCCTCCCCGCTCTCCCTGCGTCATTTCCCACGACTGACTGGATGTGAATCTACAAGCGAGAAGCGCCCGCGCAGGTGGAGATCAGGTACCACCTCAGCCATATCCTGTAACTTCGCCTCCTTCCTGCCTCAGTCTTTACTTGGCTTCCTAGGAGAGTGAGAGTCCAGAGAACCAAACCGAGAGGGAGAGGTGGAAATCTCTATGGTGAGTCTGTGCCAAAGCAGGTGGGAAGCAGAGGGCAGGGGCCTGGGGCCAGCGTGGGCCCAAGGGCTTCCTGGATTCCCACCATGTGCCCACCTGGCCCAGCCAGTCCAGAGCAGGGTCAGATCAAGGCCGCGGGGTCGAGGCAGAGCTACAGGGCAGGGCAGGGAGAGGGGTAGAGCCTGCAGCCAGCCCAGGTGTGTGTAGCTGGCCAGGAATGCCCAGCCGCACGGCCCTGTCTATCCACAATGGGAACATAGTCGTGTGGGGAGTGGAAATGGTTCCTGGCGCTGGACAATGAGCGCTGCGCCCAAAGGGTTTGCAGGGACCCCTCTCCTGCCTCCTCCTGCATGTTGTTCATCGGCCTGGGAAAGCAGTCTGCCTGCAGCAGGGGCTCTCACCACTGTCCCGTGCTTGACTCTGCAGATCTTCTATTCTGAGGAAGACATGAGACGCACCAAGCGGAAGGAGAAGCTGGAGCCAGCAGAGGCCCTCACAGCCCTGCCTCAGAGGGCTGGGCGGAGGCACAAGCATCGCCTCACAACTTTGCCCACCAAGACCACCACCATGGCCCCAGAGGCACAGGAAGCCTTTTGTGGAACCTCAGCCTCAGAAGACTTGGCAGAGCCTCCGGACACGTGGGTGGCACCTGTCTTGGGACACCCTGTCTTCAGGACCATGGGGGTCACACTGCTCGTCAGTCTGTCCATCCTAGGCAGCTGCAGTCTCTCGATGGCACAGAGACAGAAGTGTCACCATCCCAAGTGGCCCAGAAGCCTCTGAACTGCAGCAAGCATCCTATGTGACCAGTGACAAGCCTGCAGTGGCTAGAGCGACCCCTGCCATCTCCCGAGGGACCCTCCCCTGTCCCTTCCGGGGGCTGGCTTCCTGGCACCTGCCCTTTCTGCTGGTTTCAGGACAGCTTTCTGGCAGCAGCTGTGAAGCAAGTCAGCAGGACCAGCAGAAGTCCTGGAATAACAGCGTATCTGTCCATTGCATCCGTGCCACCCAGTGCCCTGTACCCTTGGCACTGGTGTAAATGCACATTTGCATGTCCTGCACACCCACATTGGCAACATGTTTCTGATTTCAGCCAGACTCGGGATGGATTCTGAGCGGCACTCAGGAAACACAGCAGCCACGGTAGGAGCAGGATGGGTGGGGAGGCTGTGGAGCAGAATTTGGGCTTAGGGAGCCCTCAGGGTGGTGAACAAATGCCTTCTGTTGTGTGTGTGTGTGTGTGGAGGGGGGTGATAAAGCCCTTAAGGCGAGGCTGCCCCAGGGCTCCCAGCCTCTCACTTCCCACACCTCCCACAGCACATCCACGGCCCACGGAGCAGCTGAGACACCGCCTGGCACGTGACAAGGTCGCTAGCCAGGAAGCGGGGCAGGACAACGTGCACCTCTCCTGCTCAGGGCCTACTAGATGGGATGCTGGGAAAGATGGGGCAGTGGGGTACACTGCCCACCTTGGCGACTCCTGCCCATATTAGGCCCCCAAAGGGCATGGTCAGCTTAGATCCAGACTCAGCTGTCCTGGCCTTGGGTCCTTTAGAGGACAGTAGGAACAGTGCTGCCAGCACCCATGACTGCCTCGTCCAACCTGGAGAATTGCACCTGCTGAGTCAGGAGCTCAATGAGGCCCCAGAAGGAGCCAGCAGCCAGGAGCTTGGCACAGGCATGGGAAGGCCACACACGAGGGCCGAACTGACTGCACCGGGGAGCTGGTGCAAGGCAGGAACTAGACTTCAGTGGAGCCTTTGCGACCAACCTGAGGAGCTGCAGGTCCCAGAGGCCGGCTGGAACCTTCCTGCTCCCTCATCCCTACTCTGACCATCGCTTATCCCTAGCATCTTGGGCAGTACTAGAAAGGACCGTCTGTGGATGTGGGCCAGCCTGTCCCTGCCTCCCAGGCTGCCTGACCTGAGGGCCTGCAGCACAGAACCCATGGAGCCTGCCCAGGGACTGGTTCCGACCTGAGGAAACTTTGGTGCCCAAGGATGGTGGCAGGAGCTAGTGTGCCACCTCAGTCTGATCACCTTGCTCCACTCTGCACCCTGAGCAGCCCAGAGAAAAAACCTAGAACTCGGGGCTGCAAGGGAGGGCCACCAAGATATCCCTTCTCACCTCGTGGGACTCTGCACCCGGGGACAGGGTCCTTGGGTCTCACGAAGGCCAGCTCCCCGTGCCTCCCTAGAGCTCTGCTACCTCTGCCCCAGAAGCTCTGCCCCTGCTCACTCCTCCCCATTGGCACCTTGCCCGGCAGGGGAAACATGAGGACAGGGCTGGAGAAGCAGTACACGTCCCCTGAGACTGGAACTTCTGGGGACAGAGAAGGAGGCAGCACAAACAGATCAGCATCCGTGGATGAGGCCTGACCTTCCCAGCCTCCCCCACCCTGCGAAGGGAACACCATGCTGTCTCTACTTCTGCGGCCTTGTGCACTCTGTGCCTGCTGCTTAGCGTGTTGTTCCCCACCTGGTCAACATGGTCAGTCCACTGCAGCTTCAGGCGCAAGGCTGGTGGCTTACTTTCTCTTCACTGGGACCCAGCACCCAAAAGGATAGGCTTATCTTGACCCACAGTTTGTAGAACTTTCAGTCCAGACTTGGCTGATAGCTCCAAGCCAGGGTGACATGACAAAGAGGAAACAGTCCACAGCAGGGTGCAGGAAGCAGAGAGAGATCAAGGTGGGAAGAGGGACACAGACCCAGGCCTCACCCCCGTGAGCTACCTCCTCCGGCCAGGCTTCACCTCTGAGCACTACATACCACAGTAAACCCATCAGCAGAGTAAGCCACTCATGAGTACCACTTCTCCATGATCCCAAGTCCCATCTGCGAGCGCATGAGGCTTTGGGGGACATTCTGATACAAACCACAACAGCCTGTCTTCTTGAAGGGTTGCTGGACTGCAGCCCCTCATCCACGCCTGCTGGCCCTCATCAGCCTGGTGCAGAGTAGGTGTCAGCACAGTGACCAGGTGAAGCCTGAGCTCTCCAGGGCCCAGCTTCCGCTGGGGAGGTCTCAGCGCGTGACCGAAGGCAGCCCTGTGAAGCACACAGGGCTGGGCCCAGGCTACACCTCAGGAGCATCCCAGCGTCCTCACACCTGGGCCCTGTGGCCCTTCTCCCTGAGGAGACTGAGAGCCTTTGCTCACTGTCACATTGTGACCCACACGTGGAACTCTCCCCTTCCTGAACAGGTGCCTTTGTCCTCCTGCCATCCTGGCCCCAAGCCCTGTGGCACGGCCTGCAATGGTGGCACGGGTCAGCAGCCAGCTGGGGCCCAAGGCTGCTACCCATGGGACCCAGCCCAGCACCTGCCACACACCCCCGGGGCTGAAGGGGTCTGGTACCTTCCACAGCCCAGGGAGGGAGCAGGGCACAGTCTCACCTTCTGTACCCAGTGCTACATGGAGCCTGTCAGAGCTGGCTGGGGTTCAGAATCGACGGCTGTCACTGAGAGCCCCGTAGGCCCCCCACAACTCTGCCCTACTGGACTCACTGCTTTGGCCGCTATCCTGGCAGTCCCTTGGAGGGGCCATCGTAGTCTGTTCTGTCTGCTACAGAACGATTCCGTGACACTTGCAAAGAGCAGTCAGTCCTGCAGGCCGGGAGGCTGTAGTTACGGCTCCAGCAGTCTGTCCCCAGGGCTCATCCTGCCTCCTGCACCCTAACATGCCCTTCTTCCAGAAAGGTGCTGAGGGGCCCAGTTACTTCCCGTAGGGCCATTTCTTTACCAGGAACCAAACTCAGGACCCTGCGCTGCCAGGCAGGCACTGTGCCGCTGAGCCACAGCCCCAGAAAGGCCACTTCATAATGCTATCACTGGGGCGACATTTGGGAAATGCTGGACGTCCATCAGCGTTCAGACCACAGAGGCAACTGCTGTGGCAGCTGCTTGTCCCAGAACCTGACCCGTCGAGTGCACACAGGTACGGTCCTGCGGCAGCGACCCGCCCGTGTCCTCAGCAGCGTTTCCTCCCTGGGACAACCCCCGGGCAGCTGGTTTCCAAAGCAAAGAGGCTTCTTCAGTGTGTGGGTTCACAGCCAAGACCGAGACCTGCATTGGCTCCACCCGTGTGGATCCTGTAGCTCTGCACAGGACAGTGGGTCATAATAAGAGCATGCGTGGGGCTAGGAGCTCCACCTTCCAGAGCCGCAGCAAGGCCCCTCCCGAGAGCATCTCCCAGGGCTGCCCAGCCTGAGCCTGACTGCCCTGGGGACCTCCTAGTGGTGCTTTCCTAAAGCGCTGCCCCAGAACTGCAGCCAGGGGACCACACCTCCTCTGGGGGAGACAGCAGCCAAACCACAGCACAGAGCTCCACCCAAAGCAGGGCTGTGGGCTTCCCCGAACCAGCACTAGGACACCCTGTCCACAGTGGACGCCCAGGCTGCGCTCCCAGCACGGCTCAGGAGTCCCCACGAATCCTTGCTGACACAAGCATCGGGACCATGTTCCTGCAGCCCCCAAAACGAGGGCGTGAATCCCGGTTCAGGAGACCAGGAAGTCCGAGGTCAGCGCCAGCAGCTCCTAGTTCACTGACAGGCAGCTTCTCACTGAGCTGCGTGTGACAGGAGGGCCGAGGGGGCTCTCAGTACTCTCCGCTGAGGGCACTAACCCGCTGCTGAGTGCCCCACCCTCGCACCCACTCGGCTCCCAAGGCCTCGTCTCCACCCTGTCTGCTGTGTCCACTCAAGTTTGTGTTAAAAGTGAAACCCTGGTAACATGCTGGCTGTGCTTTCTTTCTTTTTTGGCAGTAATGGGAATTGAGGCCAGGGTCTTTGTATTGACTGTATCTCTATCCCTTTTTTATTATTTTGAGGCAGGGTAAAATGCTAAATCATCCAGGCTGGGCTTGAATTTATGAACCTCCTGCCTCCGCCTCCTGGGTGCTGGGATTATAGGCGTGTGTCACCACACCCCACTAAATCTCTCTCATTAATGAGTTAGTCTGTAGTTAGCACCACAAGATGGACCAAGCCACACTGCACTATGGATTAGGTTTCAGTGTATAAATTTGGGGGTGGGACACAAACTCTCAATCCATAGCAATTGGGTGGGGGACCCTGAGTGGGTTCTCAGGTCTGCATCGCCAGATTTTCCACGACAGCCACCCGACAGCCCTGTATGTTCCAGTAACTTAGGTTTCTATACATTTAAAAGTTAAACTTTGTCTTCCACACCTCAAATGGGCCATCAGGCAGCTTCCCCCGTCCCAGGTTCTGAGCAGTGCAGCCAGAACCCTTCCTGGTCAAGCCAGATGGAGACAGTTTGACCGCCCTGGCACTGCCAGCTCCCCTCTGCATCCTAGGACTGCACCTGACCAGTGCACATTCCACGGAAGCCACTCTGCACAAGGGCACCTGGAGGCGGGCCTGGCTGCCAGAGATCAGGGACAGAAGAGGCTTTCTGCATGCTTCAGGGAGCAGAGGGCAGCGCCATGGGTGCAGGGGGAAAAGGGGCTGCCCTGAGCACCTGCCCAGCCCCTGTACTGGGGAGGGGACAGCGGAGGCCTATGCAGCACTGCTCCCAAAGGAGGTTTGCTGAGACAAGGCAGGAGGACCAGCTGCTGACCTAGCGGGGGACAGCACGAGTGACAGATCAGAACCTTCACCCTGATGCCAGGAAGCTCGGAAAAGTCACAGGCATGGTGACCTTCAGAAGCTGCCCTGTCACCGTGGGAGTCTACGGGAAAACCAGACCAGAAGGAGCAAGTGCACCTTAAAGACAACAACGGCACAGTGACTCCAAAGATGGTCACATCCTATTCCCACGACCTGTGCCTGTCACCGCACGTGACAAAGGCCAGCACAGACCTTGAGGCGGGAGATTGTCCTGGTTCCGCAGATGAGTCCTGGACGCAGTCCCCAGCATCCTTCGGAAAGAAGCAGAGCCGCAAGCCGCCTGCTGGGCACTGGGATGCAGCAGACGCGGTGGGCAGCTCCCCTCATGGTGCCAAAATACGAGATGCCAGCCCGAAGGAGGAAAGGCTGGCTTGGCCTCATGGTTCTGAGATTTCTGTCCACAGTGGGCTGGGCCCACTGCACTGGACCCACACGGGCAAAACGCAGTGGGAAGCGTGCAGGGAGCCAGCTGCCCTGTCACAGCAGCCGCCCACCGGGAGACAGAGGCAGGAAGGGTCAGCCCCAGCAAGCTGGCTTCCCGCCCCACCCAGCTTTCCAGTTCCACCACATCCCAATGCTGCCACAGGCCGGTGCAGGGGCTGTGGAGGACACTTGCCAAAACACCAGCAGGCAGCCGCCAGACGCTGAGGAACAGCAAATGCTTCCCCGCCCCCACAGCCAGAGCCCGCAGCAGCGGCACAGGCACTCAGGGCCCTCCATGGGGGAGGGAGGGAGGGGAGGGGACCCCTGGGCAGCCCAGAGGCAGACAGCGGAGGGAAGGACAAGGGCTGGACTCTGAGGCCCACTTGGGCTACAGCGCCCCTCCACCCATCCCTGCTCTACCTGGGGACCCTAACTCCAAGGTCTCTAGCCAAAGGTGTCTTGGGGCAGGTTGCCTTCTGGGTTTTGTTCCCCTATCCTCCCTCCCCTCTCCCTTCCTCTCCTCTCCTTTCCTTTCCTTTCATTTTATTCTGTTTTTGGTGCTGAAGGTGTGACCTAGAGTACTGCACAAACAAATGCTCTATAGCTGACTTCTGCTCCCTTCCGCAATCTTAGAAGTCCTAAGCTTTTTGGGGCCCAGCCAGATGTTGGGAGAACGGTGAGCAGCCAAGACCTGTGAGAGCCCTCAGTCCTGGGAGAGCTCAGCCGGCATCGGGCAGGGCTCGGGGTTCACCCGCAGGCGCGGCTGCCCGTGCCTGGCTGGGGCCTAGAGTGGACAGGCCGCCTCTGCTCCTCTCCTACAGGGTTAGGAGTGGCCACTGCGGCCAGCAGGAAACTGCGGCTCTTGCGGAAGAAGCGCTTATCGGAAGGTGACAGGTGGCTCACAGGTCAAAAGGAAGGAAAAAGAAAAATGAAGGAGGGAAAGAAAGAAGGGAGATAAAAGCATGGAAGGGAGGACAGCAAGCCTTGGAAGGAAGCAAGGAGGCCGGGCCCCGGGGCATCCTGGGACACAGTGCGCCTGCTCCTGCATCCTCAGTGCCCCGGCCACCGGGCCTGGCTCCGGGCCCCGAGAGGGGCGCCCACAGTCGGCCTGCTCACCCCAAAGCCCCAGTCAGGAGAGCAGCACCCAGGCCCTGGACTGTGACTCCTGAGCCAGCGCCCAGGGTGTTTAGTGGCCCATGAAGGAAAGGAGGAGCTGTCCCCGTGCTGTGGGCTGGGCTCAGGCTTTGTGCCCCTCACTGTGGTGCTCTGTACCCCAAGAACCTTGGGCTCGGAAGTTAGGACCCAGAAAGTGTGGTCTTGAAGGGGATGTGGGCACCCTGGCACTTCTCCCCCTCACTTCCTACCACCCTGAGTGGAGCACAGCTCCTGCGAGGCAAGGCACGGGCAGCGCTGTGGGGTGGCCTGGGCATGGCTGGACTGACCCCAAGAGATGCCTCAGGGGCAGGGCAGGCCCCCTGGAGACTTTCTCTAGGATAGTTCTCCTTAATTAGTGTCGACTGTTGCTCAGAGGGGTCTTTGAACCCCTCCCAAGAACCCCTCCTGCTCAGGTTTCCAGCATTTTCCACTAGTAAGCCCTTCCTTGTTTAATAAACACAGGCTGCCCAGAGACTTCCCCGCCTCAGCTACCAGAGTTATGAACTCTGCAAAAGATTTTGGTCCTCTTGGCGCCCTAAAAGTCACACCACCTATCTCATTCATTTGGGCCTTCACTGTGAACTCGTTTGGGACATTGGGGACCTAGGCACAGACCCCAGTAGACAGCAACATGCTGTGTCCTCACAGGCCAAAGCAGCAGGGTCAGGAAGCCTTGGGGTTGAGTATGCCAGCTGTGCAACCACAAATCAGAATAAACCTGGCTCATTACAAGTTGATTGCCTCAGGTATTTCATCACAGTCATGGCAAGCTGACCAACACAAGAATATTTGTTGCATTTATCACAAGAATGTTTCAGTCTCTAGGTTAACCATTAAAAGAAAGAAGCACACCTAATTATAAATGAAATAATTCAAAAGAGATGATTACTTAAAAGAACTATATGAACAAATGAAAAGACACATAGAACTGAAGTGAGCTCATGAACAGTATAGGAATCCAAGCAGCCAAATTGATAAATTTGAAATTTAATTAGCTGAGTTCAGCAACCACTCGCATAGAGACCCCTGTGTCAGAGTCCCACCGAATGGTCTCAAACTGCAAAGTCACAGAGCTTTTAAAACAGAGAACCACAAAAAGACATCCTGTTGCAAACAGTTTAGCTAGAATCTTACATTAGTTTTTGGTTGACACCTGTATCCTGCTTCTTTGTTGAGCAGGTTAATTTTTTTCTTGTGGGTGCAGCTCATTCTGCTTTTCTCACGGGATTGTACTCTGAGTAACTTTCCATTCTCCTGAGTCACATACAGGGCACTAGTTACATGCAGGGCTCAAGGTGGCGTCAGTTATGCCAAGCTACAACAAAAACAAGTGAGTCCAAGATAAAAAGCTAATATGATGATAGATAGCAATGCCATCACACATTAAACATGAGTGAGGTAAATGCTCAAGTAGGTCACAGTCATCAAGTTAAAAATTTTAAAACTGCTAAAACCTTAAAAATAGGAATACAAAAAGCTTAGAACTAATAAGAAAACATACACTAGGCAAATGTTAATCAGATAAGGGTGATGTAGTTGCATTAATATCAGACACAGGAGAACATAAGACCGGAAGCATTTGTAAAGACAAAAATACAAGATCCAGGCATGGTGGTGCATGTCTGTAAACCCAGTACTTGGGAGGCTGAGGCAGGAGCATTTCTGCAAGTTCAAGGCCAACCTATGCTTCACAGTGAGTTCAAGGGCAGCCTGGACTACATAACAAAACCTTGTCTTGAAAGAGAAAAGACACTGTGTAAAGGTAAAGAACTTAACACATTAGTAAGATATTACAGTTTTAAACCTGGTGGGAAGTGAGGGGGAGAAGTGCCAGGGTGCCCACATTTAACTGTATAAATCAAAAGCCCACTAACGTAGCTTTAACTGTATAAATCAAAAGTTGACAGAACCAAAAAGAGCTCCACAACCATAGTGTGCCTCCCTCAGCAGGTGACAAGGGTGTCACAAGTCTGCAAAGAGGAACGCTTTCCCCTGCCACACGGGTAACCTGCTCTGCTGCCAGGCTGTGGGGATGGGCATCTGTATCAGTCGCCTCGGGTTGCCACACCAAACATCACAGAAGAAGCGACTCAGCAACAAAGCTCCTTTGTCCAGGATCGGGTGCCAAGTGGGTCATTTCCCCGTGAGGGCCCCTTTCCTGACCTTCAGGTGCTTGACAGCTCTGTTTGCTCACATGAGGCCCGTGTGCATTTGCTGGTGTCTCTTTCTGTAGGGTCACTAGCTCACTTTCTTTCCCTTATCCGTTCAGTTCCTTTCTAAAGCTGTCATCTCCAAATGCAGTCACACTGTGGCTCAGGCTTCGCCTGGGGGGAGGGCAGGAGACCTCGGTCCATTGCAGTATCCCATGGTGCTCTAGCTATCAACATTTACACTGCCCTCACCCCTCTACCCACAACCCCTCCCCACTGCCTATTACATGACAGCTGGAGTAAGTTTTGTCCCCCCAAAATTCATATTTGTCCAACCCCCTGATGGAGAACCTCTGAGAGACCAAGTCCCCAAACTTCGACCCAAAACTTCCGTATCACAAAGCGCCAACAGTGCAATTAAACCTGAATACTGGGATTTCAGTTTAGAAAAAGCAACTTACATAGTAACATCTTTTGTCTTAAAAGAAAAAGCACCCATGCCAAATGTTTGCCATCACTGTCCCAACCCCTCCCTTCCTAGACTGTGACTGTTTGGCAATAAGAACTTTAACAAGGTCACTGAGGTCTTTAGGGAAAGCTCCAGTCCAGTGGATGCGTGTTTTTCTAAGAAAAGGAAATTGGAACACACACACACACACACACACACACACACACACAGCACATGAGCGCATAGGGGAAAGTGGGTCATGGGCAAGCAGTCTGGCTTCAGAATGAAAGCAACCTGCTGACACGTTCATCCTGCACTTGTAGCATCAAGGACTGTGAGAAAATAAATTTCTGTGGTTAGGCTACCTAGTCCACGGGATTTGTTCAGCAGCCTGGTAGTGGCTGATTGCTTGTGTCAACGTGAGAAGTTTAGAAGCTTACCTAAATGGGCTCAGCAGTTCTGAGCCTGGGTGGTAGAGGACTTGCCCTAGGGCGGCTGTTGCCTGGATGCTACAAAGGGAAAATGAGGAAGGGGGGACCGGTTTCCGCTCTTCAGAGGATCTTCAGTCTTTACCTTCAGCTTGGATGTCGTCTCCTGGCTTCCAGCGCAGACTCTGGTTTCCGCTTGGACCCTTCAGCCTTCTGGCATAGATGCTTTGGCTCTCCATCGTAGACTCTTCAGCCTTCCGTTGTAGACCCGTCGGCCTCCTGATATGGACTTGCACGGGACCCTGCCGGGAGCTCCACGCCTGGGCTGAACCCTTCAACCTCCAGGGTGCCGACGCCGTCTGCACTCTTGATCATCCTACTCTGTGGCTGACCATTGTCAGCCAATCTTGTAGTTTCTCATGCGTTTGTACTTTTTTGGGTTATATCTTTCTCTAGCAAAATCCTGACTGATAACAAACCCCATAAAATACAGCAGCACATAGACAAAACTCCGCAGGTGCTGATTTACTCATTGCAAGTTGTGATAGAAAAAGGTGGTGAAGACGTGGCACACTCACCCGCAGGGTGCTGATTAAATTAAATATGCTCCCTCGTTGTTCTGTGTAGCTGTGTGAGGCAGAAAATAAAGCTGAAATGAAGTTTAAAGAACAAACTGCAGAACAGCGAATAGAGCACACTATCTGATTTCTCCCAGGTTAAAAGAGGAAAAGTGATTTTCAATGTATGATCATTTATATGATTTTTCATGAGGAAACACGAATATAGAATTTACATCAAAAACACTGAAGTGCATGTGCAATTGATTTGACCTGAGCCTCTCGATATATTACACGTGAACATGTCCGGTCAAGCTACTGCTGTGTGGGTGACAGAAGGTCCCTGACTTGGGATGCCTCAGTGGACAAGTGTTTGCCTCTATGACAGTGCAAAAGTGAAAACCATACTGTGGAATCTGAGTTCTGATCTTTCCTTGGGCCAGCGATGTTCACTTGCTGTGTGATGATCTCCTGGGGCCTGTGTGATGACACAGGCAAACGCTGACCCTCAGGGTACTGTGCTGCTGGGCTGGGATGTGGGCAGGCAATGCATATCCAGTGCATTTCTTTAAGACTGTCAGCTTACAAAGGGTTTATAACATAGCCCCACCATGAGTCGAGGGGCACCTGTATTCTTTGTCACCCGAGAGGCCTTTTCTGTGCGACTGTATCCTGTACACACGCGTCCCGTGTGCCTATCCGCCCTGCACAGGTGCACCCTGTGTGGAAGTACTCCAGTGACTGTCTGCAGTGTGAGGTACCCCGACATGTGAACACGTGACTGTCTCCCAGCGTGGGCGGCATCCCGTGTGACCAGGGCACTCTGCTGGTCACTGGTGCCATTCACCGATAGTTCTGGTTTTCCTTCTGCTAGGTCCATTGTAGGAGTCAGTGTGAATGTCTCTCCTTGAATGCAGAACAACTGCGGCCACTTTGACTCTTCTGAAGTTTATTTCCTTATTCCTGATCCTGATCCTGATCCTTATTCCTGATCCTGAACTATGGTATTTCCTTCTCTCTTCAATTGGCTCTAGGCATTGCAGACAAGGCCAGCTGAGGAACTGGTGTGCAATCTCTAAAGCCCTCAGACAGTCTCCCGTTTCCTCGCATAATGCTCTCTGTAAACTGTATGAGCACAGGGGAATGGTAGAGCCAGTCAGCTCCAGGCACGTCAACTGGGTATGAGCCCGAGATAAAGAGGCTATGAGTCCCCAGGGCACAGAATTTACATATCAGAAACTGAAGCAACAGCCTCCAAAACCAATTCAGTTGCTGCCTTAATTGAATTATGCAGATTGGTCTTTCTGCATATTGTTATCCCTGCATTTTGCAAAGCTGCTTTTCTCCCTGCGTGATTAGCCAGCTCAAGTTACTCAGGTAGTTCCCACCATCCTCACTGACACTCATCCTTGAGCCCCCCACCCTTCTTCACAAGATGATAAATGCTGGGAGAGGCCTTGGATCCGGCCTCTGTCTGCACAACCTCACGGGCACTGGGCTTAGGACCCCTTGGCTGCCCTTCACTTTGAATGTGCAGTCTCGGTGTCTTTACTCTCACCCTGGGTTGCATCGGATTGGGATTAAATTGCTGGGATTCCAATAACGTCTCAATGGAATTATAAGTATAACTTTTCGGACTGTGAGGAAGACTGGAAAAGACACTACAATACTTGGATTACCATACTCAATATGTGAGGTTACAATAGTGCATTGCCAGGCTGTGCTGCGGCTTCCCCTGTCATGTAACTTGGTGCAGAAGGACAAAGGCCATGCTCTTCTTCTGCCTCCAAGAGCAGCAATGCCCAAGTAATGGAGACTATCAGCAGGGCTCTCGCAGAATTACATGGAGCAAAGCTGTCAGAGGAAGCTGTGGGGATGGCTCCGGGGCAATGCTCTGGGTTTTGTCCAGTGATGCACGTGCACACACACGTATACACACACACACACACACACACACACACACACACACACACACTCACTCACTGCCTATGAAAGGGCTGGACATGGATCATAAGCAAGGTCTGAAAACTAGCAAGACTTTAGCACTGCTTCCTTCTCCCACCCAGGCCACTCTGACATAGTCATATTCAGTCAGGAGACAGAAATTGAGTAATTTGAACAGGAAAAGTTTAATGAAACAAATTTATAA